TATTTTGAATTTTTGTTTACTATATTATATCTAACACATTGTTTTTTGTCATTATAGTATAGTAATGTAGAGGAGGTGTTAGAGAGGATCACTGTTTTTGTAACAAACAGCAAGTTTGTATTCATCCCAAATAATGGAGTCTGACATATTGGCTGTAGCCATAAAACCAGCTTTAGAGTAGCTAATTGGCTTTTACTGTGTTCTGTCATGATCCAGAAGTGCAACTGTTTACCAGTAAAGGCTTTCCATTAAAAAACCTGATGTTATGTGGCAGCTAGGCTCAGTAATGTCATGAAGCAAAGAACAAAGCAAGCAAGCAAGGAACATGAGTTCTGTTGGGCATTGCTTGGCTGGCAGGGTGGATTTGATTTAAATCAAAAAAAGTTTAATTAAAAAAATTAAATCAAAAAATGATTTTTTTAAATTTAAATTGATGGATGCTTATGCCATGTTGGCTGACATAAACAATTCATCAAAATACTGTTTGATGGAAGTATTTGTGGTATGATTGGCTTTTTAAATTATTTCATAGGTTATTTTATTCAATGTAAGGATCAACTACAGTCGCTGACTGGTGTGAGAAAGATGGCTTCACATTCTTTCTTAGTTACAGAATTCTGAGGTGATAATTTTATATTGTCTGCCATTACCGAAGACAAAATCCTGGAGGAAAGACTTGTCAGCAGCTATTAAGGCAGTTGCCAGCAATTCCTGCTGGAGTTTTTCTTTGAAACAAAGTGTGTGAGAAGTGCACGCCTTGTTTAAAATCCTATTTGTGCTAATACATGTCTCTTGGAAGTAAGCATCACTTTTAAATCAGTGCATGTGCGTGTGTATCTTTTCAGGTGAAGGAGGATTGCTGCTACTTTGCAGCCAAAACTTTATAATGGCAAAATTGACAGCATGGTGGCGGGTGCTGCCTATGATGGGTAGCAGAGAAAGATCAGCTCCCCACCCCTGGGGGTTTGCTCACCCCTGCTAGAGGCACCCCTAGAGGCAATGTTAGAAACTGAATACATGACTAACATGTCTTGATTTATTCCAGAATTTTCATTTTTCATGTATGTCTATGTCCACAGTGCAGTCTTATACATATCCACTTATGCAGTGAGTAGGTTGCTATCTCTCACTCTAACCTACTTCATCAGTTCATTTTTCTCAGCTCTCTGGAGAAAGTTGGTGTCAGAGAGTTTGTGAGTTCCAAGGACCCATCCATTTATCTGATTCACAATACAAAAATAATGATTTGAAACATTGTACGTATTTATACATCATGTTCGGAATGTGGGGTGGGGGAGAGGATTTCCATGCTGCCATGTCACAAACAATATTTGTGGACATAGCTGAAACATTATTTCCTAGTTGCAGATAAAGGATCCTTTTCAGATCTGAGGGACTGAAGTGACAGAATTCTTATAACAGTTTATCAAAACTGTTTTTATTGCATTAGAGTATCACCGTTTTATGTGTTGCCAGGAATTATGTTTAATAATTACTGTTGGCGGGCACGACAGGTTAAGCAAGAGGAAAGTAAGTAAATGGGTTTACTACGAGTTCATAAAGGTTGGAGAAGATACAGTAGATTAGATTTTGTTTATGACAGAATCTGAAATGGTTGCCAGCTAAACAGCTGGTTTAAAGGATGCACAGTCATCTGGGAAATGTTTGTGTTTTAAATCTGTTCCTTGAACAATTGCTGATGTAGGATATGGTGTCCTTGGAACATGATAAGCAAGAACATTACAGAAGATGAAATAGGAAGGTTATTTTTGTTTGAATGCTCACTAATAAGCCTTTGTTTATTCACTTGTTTTTTTATTATTGCAACTTGTACACCACCCCATGATTGCAAACACTCTCTGAGTGGTTCACAACATGTCAAATCATCATTAAAATCAACACTACAGTATTATAGTATATGCATGGGTAGCTGTATTGCGGGAGAGACATTCCAACAAGTATTGAGGTCCTAAATTGTTAAAGGCTTGATTTTGACAGGGAAACGAACAGGAAGCCAACATACGTGGGTCAAGACTGGGGAAATGTATGGTTGAATTTACTAGTCCCAGAAATCAATCTGACCACCACATTTTGGACCTGCTGATTTTTCCATAATGACTTCAGGGGCAGCTTTACATGGAGAGTATTATGGTAATCTGTTTTAGAGATTACCAATGCATGAAACACTATTGCTAGACATTTCTTATCCAAGTATGGGTGCAGTTAAATACATCATAGATTCTACATCACTCTAGTGATATTTGTGCTAGTGCTTATATTCAATTCTCTAGACATACTAAAGATTGATTCACAACAATGAAAATCAATTTTACACAAATAACATCATGAACATATAGAGTAATAGAATTGCAAACTACTTATTCCAGTTTATAAGCAATGAAAGACCCCAGCCCTTTCTATTTATTTGTCTCTCCGTCCATCCGTCCGTCCGTCTGTCTATCTATCCCTCCCTCTAGGACCCATGACTTTTCTGAGGATTATACACCTCACAAGCTGAAGAAAACATCTTAGATTTGAGGATGATACATATCTACAGTAGGTACATCCAGTAATTCTGAGAACCAGTGTGGCATAGTGAATAGAGTGTTAGACCATGGTCCAGGAGGCCTGGATTCAATCCCTGCTTAGCTGTGCAAAACACACAGAGAACCATTCCTTAAATATCTCAAGACCCTGTTAAACCATCTTAAGGGTGCCATAAGTTAGATGTGACTTAATGACATTTAACACAATTTTGTGCATTATAGTAACATACATAGTCTACTACAAAGCTTCCTATATTTTAAGTGAGCAAGACCATGTCTTAAAAAGTATTTGATTTGCTCCACAAGAGAATATATTTCATCGGAAAGTTTTCCTAAATTATCCCAAATTTCAGGTTTTTCTACTGGACAAAATAAAAAAATTGTCTCTGGAAGAAAACAGAAAAATGTTTTTGCTTTCTTTCTCAAAAATTTTCTACTTTCCTCTCTGAGGCTTTCACATCTTCACTGTGAGGTGCTTATACCTAGATAGTAATTAAATTCTGACACTTTCTTTCCCTCTTTTTTAACTTTAATATTTGTCTTTCTCAGTGAATGGACCAATCCTTTTTTTGCAGTAGGTTTGTGTTCCAGATTTCATTGCTATTACCATTGCTTAAATTTAGATTTGTGTTTTTAATAGCATTTTTATTTAATAAATACTAAAGAAACCAAGAATACACAAAGAAATTGCATCTTCCAATGGTTTGCCTTGAAAATTGCTATTGTTTTTGCTCCTTCCCTTGGCAGCTTTCCCATTTGGACGGTCATGGCTGAGCAAATGTTTTTGTGGCTGAGGTTAATTGTCTATTGATTAATGGGTATAAAGCTGCCAATTCTTATGACTTGACTCTTCTTTTTAAAAAATGTTCTTTAGCTATAGAAGAATGCGGCTAAAGTAACATCTAGATGGTAGAATAATTTTTGGATGACAGCTTGACTGTTGCATGTAAAAATTACCATCCCAAATTTTATTCATCCCTTCTATAGCTGTGCATTTGGAATTTGAAAACAAGAAAAATGAGTGGAAGAATAGTTTTGTTCTATGATTATAGATAATGCCTGCTTTCCCCCTTCACTAGCTTTTTCCCTCCACTTTCTTGCACTTCTTTGCGAGGAAAGTGCTTTTCCCCTCCACTTTCTTTCCCCCTCCTTGTAAAGAAAGTGGAGGGGGAAAGCACTTTCCTCACAAGAAAGGGAAGGGGGAAATCAGGCATCATCAAAGCGCTTTGATGATCCCTGCCTCCCCCCTTTCTTGTGAAGAAAGAAATTTTGGGTTAAAAAAGTAGAGGGGCATCTTATACATGGGGGCATCTTATACATGGAAAAATACGGTACATCTGCATAACTTAAACAGCATCAGTTACTCTCATGAATTTCTGCTAACTAATGAGGCACCTGGCACATTATGAGGTCTGGGTCCAGTTGTGTCTCATGTGAATATTAATGTGAATATTATTTTTTTAAGTTAGTGACAGTTTACCGTGCTGAGTTTTGTTACTTCATGTTTTTGGATGTGTAAATTCCCATAATTTTTACTTCTTTGTAACTTATCTTTAAAACAGCTCCTTGGATGCCTTTCAAAGATTGAAAAACTCTAAAGATAGCAGAATGAAGTTTCTCATATGCAAAGTTATAAAGAAGTGCAGTGAGGATCTGTTTGACTTGGTAAAAATAGCAGACATGTTTAAGTACCAGATCTGAAAAGAAATCAGAATATAATTAAGGGAAGGTTATGAGAGTATTTCTGCCAGTGAAGTGGAAAAAGAAGTGGCAAATGGCAATAAGTGGACTTCAAGACAAAAAATGAAGAGAAAATTATATAAATATGAAATTAAGCATTTCACCTGCATTAAAGTGATGGTGTAATCCATAACTTGGGACCTGGTGGCGCTGCGGGTTAAAACTGCAGAAGCCTCTGTGCTGCAAGATTGGAAGACGAGCAGTCGTAAGATCAAATCCACGCAACAGAGTAAGCTTCTGTCACTTGTCCCAGCTCCTGCCAACCTAGCAGTTTGAAAGCATGTAAAAATGCGAGTAGATAAATAGGTATCACCACGGTGGGAAGGTAACGGCGTTCCGTGTCTAGTTACACTGGCCACGTAACCATGGAAACTGTATACGGACAAACGCTGGCTCTGTGGCTTGGAAACGGGGATGAGCACCATCCCCTACAATCGGACACGACTGGACTAAATGTCAAGGGGAACTTTTACCTTTACCTTAATCCATAACTATGAACTAGTCACTTGAATATTATGGAGAGAACGAGACAGAATTAGGACTTGTGCAAATTCCTCTGGAAGAAATTTTTGCAGAGAGAAACAGCCATGCTTTTGAATTACACAGTTCCTTTTCCATATGTAATTATGAATTACATGTTCTCTAAGGTTCCTGGACAGTTAAGTTATTATAATTACTTCACTGAAATGCTTCTTATTTGGATTTTTCTTGCAGGTTGGACAGCTTGCTTTCAAAGGTATGAAAAAATTAAATCGAATCCAGTCCATTGTTTTTGAAACTGCCTACAACACAAATGAGAACATGCTAATCTGTGCGCCCACTGGGGCAGGGAAAACTAACATTGCCATGTTAACTGTTTTGCATGAAATTCGTCAGCATGTGCAGCATGGAGTGATCAAAAAGGATGAATTTAAGGTAGGAATTTAATGAAACACAAGACAGATTTATATCTTGCAGCCTAAAGACTATTATAAAGTTTAGCACATGTGTATGGATTCAACAAATTTTCAAGGATATTGTGTTTTCTTTAAGTCACCCAAAGATGTCACCTGTTGATTTATTTCATTACTACTCATCAGTATCTTTTGTTGATGTTGTGCAAATCTTGTTACACATGTGAAACACATTTAAAATGTGTTTGGCTTTGATGTAGAATCAATTGTTGTAAGGGTTCTTTATCAAAAAATATTATCTTTTAAATAGCTGCATACTATCTTGTACTGCTGACTACTGTGCACATAATAATGTTATGGTCTCTTCTTCAGTCCCCAGCCCCCAGTCTGCTTTAAATATCAGGAGTCATATTTTTTGTCTGTAGCTTTGAAGCCAACAGTTTTGTACACTTTGCTCATTTGTCAAACCTGTGTGTCTTTTTTATTTGTGCAGATTGTTTATGTTGCTCCTATGAAGGCACTGGCAGCTGAAATGACAAATTACTTCAGCAAGCGTCTAGAATCACTAGGCATTACCGTGAAGGAGCTGACCGGAGATATGCAGTTGTCAAAAAGTGAAATTCTACGAACTCAGGTATGCTACTCAGCAGGCATAACTGTACTCATATATGCAGGCAGTGGCATAACAATTTAATATAACAAAATAATGAAAGCATTCTTTGTTATCTTAAAACACTGGTTTTCAGGGTTGCTTTCTTGACAATAGCATTGACTTCTTACTGTGCAGCCTCTCTGCCAGAGAAAATTATGGACAGAGTAACATTTCATATAACGTATTAGACGACAGTATTATTGTTCTCCGTGATTTCTGTGGATCGTACCTGTAGGATTTCTGTGCCTGCACAGCTTTGTTTTGAAACCTTTTTAGCTAAGCTGTTGAGTTTTGGTGAGGGCCATAGCCATCCCAACCCATATGATTGTGCAATTCCCTCCACTTACCTCAGTTCCTCTTTTTCTGCTGACTATTCAGCACTGTTTTAGAGTTGCTCTACTTGTTCGCATTGATTGGACCCTTTTTTCCCAACTTGTAAACATTTCTATCCTTCTTCATCATCCTTTTCCCCTTCATTCTCTCCACCAAAACCACCACTACTACCAGTCAGTTTTAGCCCTCTTCTTCTCTTGCCTCCATTTCAAACCACCACCACCCTAATCCATGGGAATAACACCTTTGTTCAAGAGAGCTTCCTCTTGCAAAGATACCGGAAGCAGACAAGACACTACAAGTACATCCTGTTTTGGGAAGCAGCGTGATACGCAAACCTGTAAATATTGTCAAGCCTTCACCTGTCAAGGATGAAAAAACTGGAGGTAAAGACCTTCATGGGCACTTGTTGGATGTGGAGTCTCAGCTATATATAAACATGCAAATAATGCTAGTGGCAATGAAGGCTTTAACAGCATTTAAATTAGTCATCCATGGCCAAGTTCTCCAGTTCACATCCAGCAGCATGACAGTGATCCATTACATCAACAGACAAGGCAACACCTGGATCTGTATGCCAAACATCCTGCAAATGTGGTGTCATTCAATAAGGCAATAAACAAACAAAATAGCTATAATAACAATACCATTTCCCCAAAAGAAGACCTAGCCTGAAAATAAACCCTAGCATGATTTTTCAGGATGCTCATAAGTCCTACCCCAAAAATAAGCCCTAGTTCGGTGAAACCCGCCCTCTACCATTGTGCAGCAACTAGAAGAAGATGACATGACTGTGTTTGAATAAATTTAGGTTGTTGTACATGAAAAAAATAAAACATCCCCTGAAAATAAGCCCTACTGCATTTTTGGAGCAAAATTAATGTAAGACCCTGTCTTTATTTTTGAGGAAACATGGTATAATAATTAAAGTACAATAATTCCGTCCCAATAATTGCCTACTGCCATGGTCAACCCCTATGGTTCCAGGTTGAACAAGTAGGTTTTTATGTCTTGTTTGAATTTGTCCTACTTTGGTTCCACGTGAAGGTATTGCGGAAGGGAATTCCATAGTTTTGGGGCCAGATGAGAAAATGCTCTAAGTCTGGAGTTAGTCTTAGTGGAGACTGCAGCCAAGAAATCAGAAGACCGAGACTCAAAAGGGCAACAGTGAAGTAATTCGAAAAGGATGTGTCAATGAAGACCAAGGCCAAGATCATCCACACTGTTGATTTCTCAATCCCTGTGTACTGGTGTGAAATCTGGATGGTAAACAAAGCTGACAGGGGATTTTTTATTTATTTATTTATTTATTTGAAATATGGTTCTGGAAGAGAACTTTGCAGATATCCTGGACAACCAAAAAGTCAAACAAGTGGTCCTAGAGCAAATCAAGCCTGAACTATCAGGCTAAAATGGTGAAGGTATGGTTGTCCTGATTTGGACACATCATGAGAAAACAGGATTGTCTGGAAAAGGCAATAATACCCGGGAAAGTCGATGGCAGTAAGAAAAAAGGAAGACAAAATACTAGATGGCTTGACTACCTAAAGGAACCCATTCACTTGAGTATACAAGAGTATACTGTTTTCATAGTGTGTCATTCCAGTACTTTGCAGTTTGTTCTTTTATGAAAATAAAAACACTTCTTATGTCTCAAACAACTCTTTGTTTTGGCCACAGCTCAAACAAAGACGGAAACAAGGGAAACAAAAATAAATCTTTAAAAGGGTTCCAGTTGAGGAATTTGTGGTGGCAGCATTACCTAAGGCTTTGAGTCATAACAAAAGGCTTAAATAAAGATTTTCCTCACGGTGAAGATTGGACAACAGGCCCAGAGGAAACTTCAGGGTGAAGGATCATGCTGGGTGTCTGATCAGGTTGTAGCAGGGTCAGATGTGAGGACAGGAATTCCTGCGTGCTAGAATAAAGTGCCAACCCAGCTGAGAGGGGCTTGCGAGTGTCACAAGGTGGTATACAGTCTATCCAAGAATGATGTTAGATTGCTGTGTCACAGTGCCGCTTGGTTCTCCTAGCAGGAATAGAATTGTATATGGTTTGCTAAATCACCAGCTGCAAACAAAATTGTTACTGAGTATGTTGTTCCACTTTGGCAGACGAACAGCTACAGCCTGGGGCAACATTCTCCAAATAGGTGTCCAAATATATTGGGTACCATTCCTGGCAGAATTATGGAGCTACCCCATGTATGTCTTCCATGATACATCTCTATATTTAGGACAAACACACTGATTTCTCATCTCTCTTCTCTTTGTCATTAGACATAAAAAGTAGTGGCTTTCAAATGCTGGCACATGATAGAAAATGGGAACTGCCCACATGTGACCTTTGTGGATTAGGAATGCATTAAACACACACAAGATGAAGTCTGCAGGCATTAAAAGTCTGTTTACTTTCAAATGCTCAGAAAGATGGACACAACTACGTATGCTCCCTCCCATCCCTGACCATCCGTGCTTTGGCAATTTCATAGTACAGTATGCTCTGTTGCTGTATCGGGAGAGAGCAATTTGCAACTCAGGTATATAGTTTGCTCCTGTGGTCTCTTACAAGCTGTTTTTTTTCCTAATTCCTGACCTTTTTGGGATAAAGACATATGGACAAGAATAGCAGCTGCTGGAAGCAAAGGGAATACACTGTCATGATTTGCAGAGCAGGTTCCCAAAAAGACAAAAGTAAAATTGTGGCAAATGTAAACCCTGACATGAGCAAGAAAAGCACCTTGTTAAAAGTATTATATTTGAAAAGAAAAAGCAGTTTCAACAATACATGTATATTTTTTCATCCTAACTAGATAAAAAAATAATACTGAGCACTTTGCACACCTGCACAAGTTAAGGATAAGAATATTTGCTTTTGATCAACATTTGTACTGAGATATGTAACAATGTCAAGAGACATCAAGGATCTGTTATGGATAAAGAGTAAGTCTGTTCTGTTTCTTTGCTGAGAAGACTCTTCGAACATGTCTCAGTGGCAGGTGTGCTAAAAAGTAATTTCTTTTATTCACAAGGCATAAAGGTATGCCCTATTTAAAACCAGATTCTTTCCCCTCTTAAACGAACTACAAATGGAAATATAAAAATGTCTACCTATCTTTGTCAGATGTAGTACAATGTAACCAAAGGTTGATAGTGCTGTTCAGAGTTGAAGATACTTATAAAAATGTATAGCTCTCTTTAGGGAGCTGAACATCCTTTTCATATGCAATCATTTCTGTAATCTGAAGTCTTCCCTGTCTCATGCTGAGTTATCCCCTTATGGATTTTTCTTCAGAATAAAGTAATTTATATGCCCCAGAAGAAAGTGTTACTTCCCACTTCATTGTAAATTTTGTCTTTAGGGTAGAACTCCATGTTGGGGAAATACACCCACTCCAAAATGCCTTTTTGAAGATAATCTTCTGCATTTCTTTTTCATGTATGCAAATTTTGTGAGGCCTACTGTGTTAACAGCTGTGGCAAGTGGGGGTGAGTAAGGGTTGCAAAAACAGTTAGGAAGAATATGTGACTCCCAAACCTCACTTGGGCCCCCTGAGTATTTTGGAATTATTTAGGTATGTGCAAGAGTGGGTGTCCTATTGAGAGCATCTGGATTAATCTAGTTGGGGCAAAAAACAAAAGGAAAATGGTAGTTGGAGTCTACAACCAGCTACCCAACGAAGGAGAGGAAGCAGATGAATTTTTTTGAAAAACAAATTGCAAGGATTTCAAAGAGACACGGTGTAGTAGTGATGGGATATTTCAATTATCCAGATATATGTTGGGGGGCAAATTCTGCACATTATGGCCCTTCCAAGTAATTCCCAGCTTGTGTGGCTGATAATTTTCTCCTACAAAAAGTGGAGAAAGAAAAAAGATGACTAGCTATCCTTGACTTGATTCTACCCAGTAGAGGTGACTTGTTGGAGGAAGTGACAGTAAGGGGACCTTTGGGTGAGAGTGACCATATTCTACTAGAATTCTTGATTTGAAAGGAAACAAAAGCAGAGTGTAGCTGGATTTTTAAAGGACCAATTTTAATAATCCCAGAACAAGGGTAAGTAAGGTCCCATGGCAGGAGATCCTAACAAGAAAAGGAGTCCAAGAAGGGTATGAGTTTCTAAAGAAAGAAATTCTAAAGGAAAAAAAGGTGGAAATCAGCAAAAAAAAAAGGCCAGTGTGGCTTCACAAAAAGCTCAGGGAGGACATGAAAACAAAACAAAAGACATGTATAGGAAGTGGAAAGAAGGCCAGGTCATGAAGGAAGAGTCTTTAGCAAGGAAATGCATTATGGCATTAGGAGAGCAAAAGCTGATAATGATCTGAGATTAGCTAGAGACACTACAAGGAATAAAAAACCATTATTCAGCTATGTTCAAAGAAGAGACAAAGAAAAAAATTAATGGCACAGCTACTCAGTGGAAATGGAAAAATGATAACAGATGAGAAAGAAAAGGCATAGGTGCTCGATTTCTATTTTAGCTCAGTCTTTTCCCATAGGAGAGACTGTAAACCTCCAGACAAATCTGAAGTGCAAGTAGAGGGGACAGGATTGCACCTGGAGATTGAGAAACAAATAGTCAAGGAATACCTTTTTACCTTGAATATGTTTAGCTCCTCAGAGCTGGGAGAATTGCATCTGAGAATACT